AGTAGTCCTCATTTCTTATAGGCACATTATTTCTCTAAACACTAAAACCCTCTAACATTTGTCAAGCTCTCCTACTTCACTAGCTCTGTGTTAAAGGGAACAGAGAAGAGAAAGACATGGTTCCAGACAGTTGCTATTTCTTGTCTCTCTTGGCTACCTCTTTGTTGTTGTTAAAAATATCAACAAATATTCCCTGAAGTCAGAAATATGTTCATGTTTCAATTATTTCCATCTTCCACCTCACCATGAGAGAACACACCACTTTCTCTTCGAGTAACCTACTGTTCTGCACTTATAATAAAAGTACCATACTATCATAACCTTATTGTTATCCACCCCCTGGATGAATATCTTCTCTCATTTTCCAACTCCAAATATCAGAGGTAAATATAACACAATTTTGTTCAATAATCAAGACCATCCCTTGATGTGCTAATGTAATTTGTGAGTGCAAATGAACTGGTAATTTATTGCTTAAAAATAGAAGAGATCCAATCATATCTACTTCAATACTTTGGAAAAAAAGGAATCTGACAAGCACCAGGGTATGAAATAAGTAATTAAAGTGAACTCAAGCATACTCTTATGTTATTCTCCAATAAACAAGTCACGTCTATTCCTGTAATCCTTAAAATGAGCATGCTGAAAGTTACAGGGGAGAGAAGGATTTGGGAAAAACACAGATAATTCATCTGACGAAAGAACTAGCAAGCCAGGTGCTATTATTTCTCTCTTAGGACATTATTGTCTTCCTTTGTATTGTGGTTCATCAAATGAGTAGACTATCTGTGGCTTTGAGAAGGAAAAATAATTTTTAAAAAATCATTTTCCTAATATTTTACCTTGATTATGAAACCAAACCTAAGGAACATTATTTCCATTCAATTAGTACTACATGCAGAGACAGGCGCTTGGTAATTTTTAGTTACTCATTTGCTTGATGCTTTTTCCAGCAATTTCAGTTGCAAAAGGATAACATCCATCTGTTTGAAAAGGTAACTGGTTAGCAACTAACTCCTTTAAAAATTTTTTACAACATATCCTCTTACCTTTCCAAAGTCAATCTCTACCAGCTTTAAAAATAAATATTCTAGCCAAATCTTGGATGAAATATATTTTAGATATGTGTTAGGCATGATGGATTGTCACACAACATTCACTCCTATCTCCTTCAGGTGTGCATCCCTCTGTCTTTGAGGCTAGAAACCTATAAGCTGCATTTCCCAGAGTCCTTTGCAGCTAGGGTTCTGGGCACAGTGTTCTTCCAGGGAGATGAGCAGGGTAAGAAGGAAGGTGGAGAGCATCTAAGGAAAACATTTGCTTCCTTGTTTTTGTTGTTGGTAGCAATGTTCAGTCACTAGCTTCCTAGGGTGGAGAGGCATTTTGCAGCAGCCTCTCTGATCAATGGAACATAGCCCGAAAGGTGCACCCTTGATGTTAGCAGTTCTAGTGGTGGTTCTGATTCCCATCCCCCAGGCTGTGGCAATGACAGCAGCAACCCTGGGGGCCAATCAAGCTTGCTGCCTGGGAGCCAAGACATGAGGCTCAGGCCAGGTCCCCTCCTCTACTTTCAGTTGCAACCTTCATTCCAACCTTCTTGTGAGCACCTAATTCTCATATTCAACCCCTTCATGCTTGAAATAGTTAGGATAGTTTCCATTATCTGCAACTTGATGGAGAAGAAAGAGAAGGTAGAAATGAGCACATTCAATATAGCAAGATGGGATGTCACACCCCAGAAGAACCATGGAAGTGGCAAAGGTTGTGCCCATTTGACATTCGCAGTTACACCTTTAAGAACAAAAAGCTCACAGGCTGCACCTTCCAGGACTACCCAAATCAGGACTAACAACCCTTTAGGGCCTAGAGTTGATGCCGAGACATATTAACAAAGGCTGGGAAATAATCGTCCGGACCCCTAGAGAGAAAAGAAGGGAGGATAGAAGGGAACAGGGAAAAGCAAAGAGAAGAAAACCACGCATATGTGTGAAGAGGACCATACACCAAACCCCTCAAGTGCCCACCTCCCCCCACCACCTCATTGTCATCTCTAAAAACAACCACAGGTTACTTCTTTAACCTAGCTGAGTCAAAGGTCTGTCTAGGGTGGAGGAGATGCAAGTGTGACAGCCTCTGGCTCCCAAAGGACACTGGTTACTAAGAGTACAACATATTCTATACTCTATGCTATAGGAGTATACTAGGAATATATTCAGTATACCCAGATGGGGGACTGAACCAGTGACCCATATATTCAGTTCTAGAGTCAATTAGGCAGCAACCTCTCTGCAGCCTCCAGGAGATGATATTTAGTCAACATATTCCTACTTCTTGTTATAAACCCCTCTTTATGACTGCTCACAATGTGCCAACTGTGTACTCAGCATTTTACACCTAGTCATTTGCTCCATAGCCACCTGGGGAGGTGTCATTATCTCCATTTCACAGACAAGGAAATGGCTCGGAGCTGGGCTTCAATCCAGGTGATCTAGTTCAAACTCTTAAAATGCTTTCTTTGAGTGGTTAGAAGTTTCTCTGGATGAGAAGTGAGTATCCAAAGTCAATGATGTTAACTCCTTTTGAAGATGTCTCCGCTAGGAGGTCTATGCAATGTACTTTCTCTATGGCATCAAGAGAAGTGAATCACAAAAGCTGAAGAACATTTAACTGGCCATTTGGCATCACTCTTCAGTCTGTCCTTAAATGAATTCTCCAGTTATCTTAATGCTTTCATGCCATTCTTTTCAGAAGAATTCCTAATTTATCTACAAGTGAAAACATAAGATTGCACAGACAAGTGCTGACAGCCTAATTTCAACAATGCATTATACCAGGGGCTTAATTGCAGTGAGAGCTTTCACTCAATTCCTGTTTAAAAATACAAATGAGAACTTTGACATGTAGTAAACACAGGCATTTAATTGCATTTTGCTCTCAACATCATGAGCCTGTATAGTGCCAAGTATGTCTTGCTTGTGTCTTCTTTAAAGCAATGATAGAGTCTTCTTCATAAATCTGTTCCAAATTGTGGAGACTAGTTCTCTAAAGGAGCATATAAATTCTTTACAAGTGAAATGCATTTAAGCATCCACATATCCACCTATCAGAAATACTATAAGGTCTGGTCTCTTCTTTACAACCGTTGCAATCTCCAGTAAGATATGGCTGTCAAAGATACACATACACAGAGATTTAAGATATACTGGGAAGATCCCTGCTCCCATTGACCTTCCAATTTAAGGCAGAGTTAACTATCCACACAGGGTATTCCCAATTTCACATCCCTCTGGTAAGTAAAATTTTATTAAAACCTTTGAACTACCTTGGAACTTTTTCCATATTAAGATATACACGCAAAACGGCACATTTCCAAAGGACATGATTACGGCAATTGAATCTTTCTAGAAAAAAAATTTCTTTGGAGTTAGAAAAAGAGTGTATACAAAGCTCCCTTCTCAAATCTGATCAAATGCGTTAATAAAGCAGCAGTTCTTTGGCATAATTTCCTCAGTGACAAGATATGTCCCAACTTCTCAAGGTCTCCTTCAAAGAAGTTATAGATAACCAATGACCATCTGACAGCCACTTCCATTCTCCTAAGTGATCTTGCTATGAGCAACTCTAAGGCACCACTCATAATACTGGACAGTTCTTTACCCTGTATTCTCAGCCAGTCATCAAGGACAGAGAAAGCTCCAACTCTCCCTTCCCCAAACTTCAAACAAGTTAACCATTCATTAGCTAAAAGATAAAGGGTTCCGAGGTGGGTGGATCATTTGAGGTCAGGAGTTTGAGACCAGCCTGGCCCACAAGGTGAAATCCCCTCTCTGCTAAAAATACAAAAAAAAAAAAAAAATTAGCTGGGCATGGTGGTTTGCACCTGTAATCCCAGCTACTGGGGAGGCTGAGGCAGGAGAATCGCTTGAACTCAGGAGACAGAGGTTGTAGTGAGCCAAGATCGCACCACTGCACCCCAGCCTGGGCGACAGAGTGAGGCTCCATCTCAAACACAAACAAAGAAACAAACAAATAAATAATGAAAAATAGAAAGATAAAGGCTTCCATTTGCTGATGCCACGTGAATAATAGCACTTTTAGTTGCTGAAACAGGGTTAAATGCCAATGGTTAGCTGTAATATTACCAAAATCTTAACCTAAAACAGTGTAGATATATTTTAGCTCTTTCTATACACTAAATTTTCAATGTACATTTAAATTCATGCCCACCACCTAACATAAAGCTCTGCAAGTAGACGTTTACAGCCTTATCTTCTTTCTACATAGAGCACTGTGGGCTCACATCATTTATCACAAAGAACCCAGGTAATATAAAAAGACCCAGCCGGGCCCCATCCCAGCACTTTGGGAGGCCGATGTGAGCGGATCACGAGGTAAGGAGTTGGAGACCAGCCTGACCAACATGTTGAAACCCCGTCTCTATTAAAAACACAAAAATTAGCCAGGCGTGGTGGCGGGTGCCTGTAATCCCAGCTACTTAGGAGGCTGAGGCAGGGGAATTGCTTGAACCCGGGAGGCGGAGATTGCAGTGAGCCGAGATCGTGCCATTGCACTACAGCCTGGGTGACAGAGAGAGACTCCCGTCAAACAAACAAACAAACAAATCCCACACATAGCAAATAATATCATACAAATCCTTACCTTCCTATTTTGGCATTCCTTCTTAAACTGTATTTTCATCGTGAGTTTTGAAAACTTTCTGGCTTCAAGTTATCTTAGTTCTTTGCCTCTTACTAATTAAAAATCAGTTCCCCAGGGAAAGATACACGTGCACTCCATGAAAAAATACGAATCCATTTTAACCTTTAAGGCACTAGACATGTTCTTTATCTCTGAATTCTGATTTATCTGATCTCACACCCAAAGCACATCCCGCAATCCCTTACGGCATGGCAGTCTCGCCTCTTTTGATCGTATCTAAGTTTGCAAGGTAAACAGGCCACCCTGGGCTACCGAAAGGCAGGGGAGGACCAGGAACTCACCCAGGCGGCCGGACCCGGGCGCGGGCTCCGGAGCACGCGCTAGATGACTTGTCGCGCCCCCTCCTCCCCGCGGGCGGGCGCCGAGGCGGCGGATCTAGGGTGGAACAGAGGCTTCTCTCCGCTCCCCTCTGCAGACCATTGTCAGCGCCCGAGTCGCCGGCGCTTTCTGCACGGTGTGGGGACGGACAGCAGCTCTCCCGATGCGAGTAGTCACATTGCTGTCCCGCAGCCAGGGGCAAAAGCTGCTTTTGCATCAGAGCCGAGGGCTGCACCAGGTGTAACTTCCACCCCTTGACCTATTTTAGAGTGTGAGGATGAAAGGAAGAGGAAAAAATAGACGGAGGGCGCGCGGAGGAGCGGGCGGCAGGGTGCGCGCGTGGCCGTGGGGGAGCGCGCGCGCGGGCCCGGGCTAGTGTAGGGGCTTCCAAAGAGAAGTTGCAGCGAGCCCCGGCCTCCCGCGCCTGGGCCAGCTCGGGGGTGCTTTGCTAGCCCCTCCTCCCGCCGCAGCCGCAGGCCAGCTTGGCCCGCCCTACTCCGGCGCCCCGCGCGGGAAGCGCAGCTCCCGGGGATCCGGGGCTTTGGGCTGGCCCCGCGACAGCCGCGGGGAGACCGCCCGCGGCCCCCGCCCCAGTCACCGTCCCCGCCTCCCCGGGCTGCCTTCACCTTTCGGGAGGCGGCGCTCCGGTTCAGCTGTCCGGGAACCCAGGCCTGCGGCGCCTCCGGGCAGGGAAGGCGGGCTGGCGGGCGGCGGAGCCGGGGACTGTCGCCTCCCCGCCTCGTTCCCTGCAATCGCCCCGCCCGAACGTGCCCGGGAAGTGAGGCTGGGCCGCGCCCGCCCGGCCGGGGACAGGGGTGACCTTCCGGCCTCCCGCCTTGCCCTTGTTGCCGGTGTCTCTCGGCGTGGCCCGTCCTGCGTAGAAGACGCCCCGGCGGGCGCACCTGGTCGGCCCGAAGCGCATCAGCGTAGTACCTGGGGTGACGGCGACGTGTGACTTTAGCGAGGCTTTTCTCACTTAATTTTTACAGCCCCGGACTTCAGCGGAAATGCCCCCTTGGGGTCGGTCCATTGGGATAACTGGAGATGGGGGATTAAGTAGGGTGCCACGGCTTAGACGCTCCAAATCATTCCAGTACACAGCATGACTTATCTGTTGAGTTTTGCAAAACAAGCCCCATCACAAAAGCATCCATCAAAAGGCGGGTGGAACTTACAAGTTTTTGCCCAAAACTGGACACAAACCTTCCCTCCCCCCATTGCTTCTGTTACAATAGCGTTAATTACTTTCTTCCAAGTCCCTAACTGATATCTCCAACCGCCTATTATTAAACAACTCCCTTATCATCAGGGACCTATGCACTTTAAAAATGCACGTTCCCAGTGACGAAAAACGAGCAAGTTTAGTAACCGCTCTGCCGCCCTTGGTATAGAGGTTCGTGCTCCTGATCCCCTGCCTAGGGGGCAGAGTTCATGTCGAGCTGTTTTTTCCAGTCCAGGTTATTTATGGGTACCCAACTACAGGTCTCACATAGATACTGGTCTATAACAGGTTATTTGTGGGGACCCAACTACAGGTCTCACATAGACGCTGGTCTATTTCAGGTGCTACTAAGAGGGTTGGTGGAGATCAGCATATAGTTTCTGATTCTGGAATGGTTTTCTAGTGCCACAGTATATTGAGTGGGGTAGAGTGGGGGAACATTTGTTTGGGCTTCTCTTTATCGTCATGCCCTGGATAATCAGATTGACATTTTCTTTTTCTGTAAAGGCCTCACATTCAAAAAGAAAGAAAGAAAAAAATAAAATAAAATAAAAAACACCACGAGTCTGGTATTCTTGAGCTGAACGCCAGCTACAGAAATGCAACTGCTCATCCTTTTGCTTCCATTCACTGGAGCTATAACTGCAATATGTCCTTGGACACAGAAGATGTGTTGGATACTGTGATGTTCCTTGTCCTCTTCTAACAGTGCATCAGGCGACAAAGTATACCTAAAGTATAGGATAGTGCCTGGCGAATAGTAGGACCTGATAAATACTTGTCCAGTGATTGAGCAACTGTGATAAACAGGAAAGTAACCTAGCTTAACTTTTGCAAGAAACCATGCAAGAAATGAGTTGTAGGTGACATTGTCAGGGAAGGCATCCTGGAAGTGGTGGCCGGTACCTGATTTAAATATAAAAAAATGGCTAAGGACTAGGTGAGGTGGCTCATGCCTGTTATTCCAGCACTTTGGGAGGCCGAGATGGGAGGATCGCTTGAGGCCAGGAGTTTGAGACCAGTCTGGGCAACATAGTGAAATTTCATTTCTGAAAGATATGCAAAACATTAACTGGGCATGGTGGTGCATGCCTACAATCCCAGCCATTCAGGAGGCTGAGGCAGGAGGATCGCTTGAGCCCAGAAGTTTGAAGTTGCAGTGAGCTATGCTTGCACCACTGCATTCCAGCCTGGGTGACAGAGACCCAATCTCAAAATAAATAAATAATAAATAAATAAATACAATTAGGGAGTGGAAGTGAGATAGTATATTTGATATGCTTTCAAGATGTAATAGAGGCAGAGATTCTTAACATTTTGTAGGTAATAGGCCCCTATGAAAATGTTGATAGAAGCTTTGAAACCCCCTTATATAATAAACAAATGTGAAATATTTGCATATGTTTTCTGAAAGTTCACAGACTGGCTGAAGCAGATGTGTAGAATTCCTAGAGACTCGTGAACTATGACATGAGTTACCAATGTCTTTCTTATTTGGAGGCAGGTAGAAAAACAAAGAGATTTTTCTAGTTGAGACCATCATAAGAGGCATTTCAATGACCACCAGTAGAATTTGGGTAATAGTTGTGGAAATGGAAAGAACAATGTACTGTAAAGAAAATTTGTACACTAGAGAAACATAGCTAGACTTTTAAACCATTTATGTTCTTTTTGTACCTGAGAATTTCACTTTCATATCTCAGCAAAAAGGGGAAAGGAATAGATAAAAAAAATGACTGTCAAAATATTGACAGTTGCTGATGCTGGGTGCACACGTGGGGCTTTATTGTATTATTCTCTCATTATTTGTGAGGTTTAGCATTTTTCATTTAAAAAAAATTTCAGTGGATTTTTACTCTTGGTAGTCATACCCAATCCTATAGCATTTCCTAACTTGGGTTCTTAGAATGGAGATTTTTGTATATAAAAAAAAGAAAAAGAAAACAATACAAATAGGCCAGGGATGCCACATATAAGATTGTTATTAATAAGCAGAGTCTTTGTAGAACCATACGTTTTCTCTGAGGAAGAATTATAAAGTGTGTTGGCCATAGTCTCAACATAAATTAGACAACTATGAAACACTGAACACGTGGTTTTCTGGTTTTTTTGTTTGTTTTTTGTTTTGTTTTGTTTAGTTTTTTGAAATGGAGTCTTGCTTTGTTGCCCAGGCTGGAGTGCAGTGGTGCCATCTCGGCACACTGCAAGCTCTGCCTCCCGGGTTCACGCCATTCTCCTGCCTCAGCCTCCCAAGTAGCTGGGACTACAGGGACCTGTCACCACACCTGGGTAATTTTTTGTATTTTTAGTAGAGACGGGGTTTCAACCGTGTTAGCCAGGATGGTCTTCATCTCCTGACCTTGTGATCCGCCTGCCTCGGCCTCCCAAAATGGTGGGATTACAGGAGTGAGCCACCATGCCAGGCCTTCTGTTTTTTTCTAACATTACACTCAACTTCATTGTATGTTGCTTAACTTTCTTTATCATTACATTTTATTATTATATCATGCATATAGTTTATATACTCATATATTATATATTCATATGCAATATAAATATATATATGCAATATGAATATATATTCATATGTATTATATATTTTATTATATTTCTATAATATAAATTATTGTATTATATGTCATATATACACATATATTTATATGTAGCAATATATTTTACATATATTATATATACAGATGTTCCTTGCATTATATGGTTCATTTACAATATTTCTACTTTATGATAATTTGAAAGCAATGCATATTCACAAGAAGTCATACTTCTAGTACTCATACAACCATTGTCTTTCAATTTTTGTACAGAATTCAATAAATTACATGAGATATTCAACACTTTATTATAAAATAGGCTTTGTCTTAGATGGTTTTGCCCAAGTGCAGGCTAATGTAAGTGTTCTGAGCACATTTTAAGGGTAAGCTAAACCAAGCTATCATGTTCAGTAGGGTAGGTGTGTTAAATGCATTTTACAACACTTTCCATTTACAATGGGTTTATTAGGATGTAATCCCCCATCATAAGTCAAGGAGCATCAGTACTATATAATATTATTATGACCTTTCTCAGTTAACTCAGTTTCTTTATTAGTCAACTGCCTGGGTCTGGCACATACCTCTTGAGGCTGCAGATGGCTGGCCATGATTCTTTGAGTGCCTGCCTTTCTCACTGCCTCTTTCTGAGCAAGGCAGCCCCAGTGCTTCCTTACACATAGGTACACAGGCTGCACACTTTCCAAATGTGACCAGTTCAGTCTAGCATGTCCTGTGGACTACAAGGCCATTGCCTAGCAAAGCATGAAATTTCTCCAGCTTATGTAATAACTACTCCACACCTGAAGTCTCTTAAGATGTGGCATTTAAGTCAGGAATGCACGTAAGTTCTTTTCCTAGAGCTTTTGACCATTATTTTACTTATCCTCATTGGCTATCACAGTCCTTCGCACTTAGAACTCAATGCACATATATGCATTAATATGCATGTATTGCCATAAGCCTCAAAATGTGCTGCATGATGCTCATGTCACCATTTCATTCATTTCAGCCTTGACCGTCTATTTTATTAAAGGACGTGGTCTAAGGTACAGGCTCGTAGCCATTGGGGGTGCTTACCTATTATTAGCATAATAGAGACTTACCAAAAAATTACTGTATTTTTACCCTCTTTTCTCCACCTTTCCAAGTCATCCCATTTTTTTTTAGTGATGTTAGCTAGTTTAGCAGAATAACATCTTGATGCATAAGGAAGTGGAACCCTCACCAGGGCGAATGGTAGAGCAGGCGAGCTTAGCTTCGGATTACAGGAAGAAATTGTGAGGTGTGCTCCAGTCTCCCAGATTGATCTTTAGGACACTGGAGACAAAATATTCCAACAACAGGGATAGACAAAGCTCAAGCTTTATGGCCTCATTAGTTTTAAAGGATTCCCCACAGTGACCCAGTCAGACTGGACTGAGAATCAAAGAGTTCACAGCTACTTATTAGTCAGCACAGTTTAGAGACAGGAGTGCTAACCAAGAGCTGTCCTTGTCATTTTGGGATGTTCATGGGCTGGAGTCCCAGTTGCCATCTCCTAAAACCTAAACCCTTCAGTTCTCCAGTGATTTTGTGCCAGAGAACGTGTAGCTGCTGCCTTTATCCAAGATATCCTTTATCTGATATCCTTCACATCTGTGAAACCCAGAAGACCTTCTTAAGGTACATAGGGAACTTCCCAGCATTGGGAACAGGATGGTTCCTTCTCTCATAGGGTTTAATGCACCAAAAAGAGAAATGCCACTTCTCTGTCTTCCTGAACTTTTTAAAAACTAGTCCTGCCAAGTCTCATCATTTCTCAAGTACCTGTCCTTGGTCCTCTGTTTTTCTGTCTATATAATCTCCCTGGACAACCTCATCCACCTTTCTAACTGCAAGGAAAACTCTGTGTTGATTTCTCAAAAATCTGTATCTCTGAATTGGTCTTTTCATAAACCTCCAGATCCCCATGCTCATCTTTCCAGACATCTCCATCAGGGTGACCTCAACACATACAAAACTGAGGTCCTTTGCCCTCCGTGCACCTAAAGCAGCTGCCCTTTGCTTTCTTCTACAATCCCCATCCTCCCAGTCACCTGGCACATTCTTAGACTCTGCCTCTTCTTGTCCTTCATAGCCCACTGGTGACCACCGTCTGATAATTTTATATCTGTACTGCTTTTATTTATCAACTCTGCTCCCTTCTTACTGTTTCTATTCTAGTTGTTTATGTCCCATTACTTCCCACCTAGATGATTACAATAATTGTCTAATCTGCTCTTCTGATTTTCGAGGCCGTCTCTTCCATAAAAGATAATTCCAGACAAAAAGCTTTTGTCTAGATTAATCTTTCTGTCCTAGGAATTTATCAGTTCCTGATCTAGATCCCTCTTGTAACATTTATCTCTAACCTTCATATAAAGTATTATTTTATTCAACAAAGATTTACTGGACATTTATTTTATGCTGAGCAGTCTGTGAGAAAAGCAAGGGGGAGCAAAACAGGTAAGATATCTACCCTCATGGCACTTATAGTCTCGTGGGATGACAAACATTAATCAAATAATCACAAATATCACAACTAAAATGTGCAACCCCAAATTGCAACACGCACCTTGAAGGAAGACTGCAGAGTTGCTAGGAGAGCTCGCAGGTCTCATCACTCTCCCAGAGGGAGGACTGTGTAGGATTCAGCCTTAGATCCTCAAAGTCTAGTCCAGAGCCCTGCACGTGGAAGTGCTGAATAAGTTTCTGTTGAAGGAACATATGCATCAAGAAAAAAAATCAAAACAAACAAAAATCCCCACAAAAAATGAAAAAAGAATAAAACAAAGGAAAAAAAGCCTCATATGCATCTTACTTCTGACACATAAGTGTGTGACCTTTTCTGTACTACACAATACTGAATAAAACACACGCCGGATGTTCCCTCAAATACCAACCTCAACATGTAGCCATGTTAGCTCTTTGCTTTTGTTTCCATGACCACAAGTCCATGGGGCATCTAATCTCTAAACACACCCTATTTTCTTTGCCAGCATTGCAACATGTAGAAACTTGTTATCCCGGTAGCATTACCAAGAATAATTGTTGCTTTATGGTGAAAGTTTTTATGCACGTTTTAATACTTTGCTGTAATTACCAACACAAACCCATCATCCCTCTTCCTTACAGTTTGGAATATTTGCTGAAGATGTCAAACAACATTGTTTCTTTTGCCTCATGGGAAACTGGGTCATCCTCCAGCTATCCTTTGTGTCATTTGCCAGCTTCCTCTCCATCGCCAAAGCTGTTTGAATATTACCTCTTCATCCTCCCGCTCTTACCTTTTGTCTGTCACTCTTTCATCTTTCTGCTATTGTGATCATGTAATTTTTGAAGTCAGCTTTTCGCTGGAACGCTGAGTGACACATATCACTTGGATTATTTTATCTCTATTTTTTTTCTTTTTTACAATACTATTACATAATTCGTTTCAAGAAGTACTTTTGTGCATAGAATCTCAGGTCTGATTTGGGTGTGTGTGTTGTTTGCAGCTTTGAACAAACAAGGACTGGAAAAGATGAGCTTATTTGTCATGGTAGGAAAAGAAAAACTGCAAAAAAATACAATAAATCTCACCAACAGAGAATGTGTTATATAAATAAGGGAGCAACTACATGTCAAGAAATGCAGAGCCATGATACTGAAGACAATTTAATGACCTGGAGATACAATGCAGTGTTAAATAAAAAGCATTTTCACCCCAATATTTTAAGATTATATAGTATATTTACATATATGTAGGGGAAAATACTGGACAACTATACAAAAACATGACTAATGATTTTCTCTGGGTGATGGAATTTTATTTTCATATATATATATATGTATATATACTTTTTTTTTTTTTTTGAGAGGGAGTCTCGCTCTGTCCCCCAGGCTGGAGTGTAGTGGTGTAATCTCGGCTCACTGTAATCTCTACCTCCCAGGTTCAAGCAATTCTCCTGCCTCAGCCTCCCAAGTAGCTGGAATTACAGGCGAGTGCCACCAGGCCTGGTTAATGTTTTTGTATTTTTAGTAGAGACAGGGCTTCACCATGTTGGTCAGGCTGTCTCAAACTCCTAACCTCAGGTCATCCACCCGCCTCGGCCCCCCTAAAGTGCTGGGATTACAGGCGTGAGCCACTGCACCTGGCCTCGTCTATATATTTTTTATTTTTATTTTTTGAGACGGAGTCTTGCTCTGTCGCCCAAGCTGGAGTGCAGTGGCACAATCTCTGCTCACTGCAAGCTCCGCCCCCTGGGTTCACGCCATTCTCCTGCCTCAACCTCCCGAGTAACTGGGACTACAGGCGCCTGCCACCACGCCCGGCTAATTTTTTGTATTTTTAGTAGAGACGGGGTTTCACCGTGTTAGCCAGGATGGTCTCAATCTCCTGACCTCGTGATTCGCCTGTCTCGGCCTCCCAAAGTACATATTTTTTAAAGGGAAAGGGACCCTATGCAGTTTGGGAGCAAAGCAGATCCCTATTTATAGCCACAACTCTTGTCTCATAAATTTTATTGCTATTTCATCACTGCTCTTACCAATCAAGTGTGTGAGGAGCAGTACCAACATAGTGCTCTCTTGTTCTTGTTCTTTATTATTATTTTACAATCTCAAGCACAACAGTACAAGAAAGTCCAATTGTTTCAAGTGAAGGAGTCACAATGACCTCATCATTCTCATTGTAAAAAGCTATTTTATGTCTATGTCAAAAATAATTTGCCTATTGTATTTACATCCTGTTTGTTAGGTGAAGGCAAATGTTGGCTCCCTGGCTACGTGTCTTGATTAGATCTACTTATTAGTAATGGTAATCTTGGGTTTGTATGAAAGTCAGCTCTAGGAAAAATAGAGAAATAGCGTCTCTGTGTGTGTGTGTGTGTGTGTGTGCTCGCACATTTTATGTACTTGTGCACTCACATGTGCTCATGTCATCCCTAGAGATTTGATTCTGGGGAAAAGAAAGGGTGAATTTTGAGATGGTTGGTTTTTATTTTTCTCTGAAGATATTTTTTGAACTTTTTGGGGATACAAGTTTTGAGATATTTTCAAATAAATTATCACTTAAGAATAGATTCTAATGTATGTCACTAGAAATTACACATTGTAATATAGTTTCAGAAAGCTGTGCCATAAGAAAATTTTATTCACAAAGTATTTGCAATTGGCAAAGCACAACTCTTATCTTCTGAGAGCAAGCAAGACAATACTACTCCACTTCAGCATTGCGCTCAGGGTTCAAATAACCAGAGTTCGGTGACTCTGATCTTAATCAAGACCTCTGGGCCTTAAGTCACTTATCTAAAAAGTGAGAGGGTTGAGTTAGATAATCACTGAGATCTCCCACAGTTCTTAAAAGAAAAAGCATTTTTGTTTAGATCTGGAGTGAAAATGTAGAGTTGTAAAATAAAGAAGAGATTTGGTGCTTTCTTTATTGCATTCATTTATGATCTAAACGTTCAGTAGGAAAAATTCCCATTTTCCAAGCTGCGTTTCAAAAGACTCGATGTGGAGTTAATAGTTAATAGAAGCTTCTATTTAATTCATCCGAAAAATTTAGGAAGAACTTGTGAGATGGAAGGGGAAGGAGACTTATTCTGAGATGCTCCAGAGGGCAGACTTGGACCAGTGAATGCAAGTTATGAGGAGGAACATTTAGACTAAATTAGAGGAAGAGATTTCTAAAATTCCAACTGCATAAAAGTAGAGCTTTTTCAAGAGGCACAACTCTTTGCCTCTGAATGGGCAGAGGAATCGGCCAGCTCATTTACTGGTGATGTTTGCAGAGGGTGCTCATACATCAGACAGAAAGTCGTGCCAGACACCTCAATGTCCTATCCTGGGCTGGGGTTCTTTGATGCGATGTGACAATGTACTTTGGGAAATGACAGAATACACAGTCTTTTCCGGTGTTTGGAGAAAGAATGAGCCTAGTATTTTCACAACACAGCCTTTGTAGCTCTAATTTCTCTTTCCTGCTCTGATGGTGTCACCTTTTGTACTGGTGATGAAGCTCATTATGTTTGGAATAGTAGTCAAGGTATAAGTAACGTGAGAAAGAGATGCAAAGATTGGTTTCATCCAATTTATCTGAGGGATCCAGCTGAGACTAGAACAGGGAATCTGCCTTGGAGACCATGAAGAATGTTTGCATGGATAATCAAGGAAAACGGGGTCCTAGTTTCGGCATAAGACTGCACGTACCTGTTGAACTGGAATTTGTACTTTCTTCTTCCCATTTAATGTGAAAGAAGGAAAGAGAATAAGCAAATGAGAAAGAAAAGAAACTTTATGAGGAATGCAAGCCTCCTGTAAATGATCAGGCCCAGAGAGGCAAAGGAATGAGGCAGCAGTCATGCTCCACTTCTCCCCTGGAGCTAAGCTCATCATCTCTAGAATCTGCTTGCTCTAGACTGACTCGCCACAAGTAGCTGTAAATTAACCTAACGATGGCGTGCACTGGACACCATAACTAATATCCTATAGTTTAAAAATATATAGCCAATTACTAATCATTGTCATTTCCATAAACCAATGGGAATTTCTGACAACTTGTCTGCCTTGTTGCCTTTTAAAACCTGCTTGTAAGAAAGGTTGAATGAAGTTCATATCCAAAGTTACTTGGGTCTGAGTCTTCCAGGCAGCCGTCCTCATCTTGGCTCAAGTAAACACTTTAAAATTATATTTTGTGCCTTAGCCTCTTCCATGAGGTTGCCACAAATAACGATTATCAGTAGGAAGATGACTAGAAGCATTTTAAAAATCCAACTGAGCAGTCAAAACAGCCACTAAAGGTCAGAGAAGGTATTTTTTTCTTGTAGTTTGTCTAAAAGAAAAATAAATTACCATCATGAAACAAAAACAACAAAACAGGAGAAAATGCCGTTCGCAGGAGAAGACTGCAGGTGAAATAGCCCAGAGGTTGAAGTCACTGCTCAGGGCCAGGCAGGTGGGAAGTTGTCTTGGCTTCTCCATCTTTTATTTATTTATTTATTATTTTATTATACTTTAAGTTCTAGGGTACATGTGCACAACATGCAGGTTTGTTACATAAGTATACATGTGCCATGTTGGTGTGCTGCACCCATTAACTCATCATTTACATTAGGTATATCTCCTAATGCTATCCCTCCCCACTCCCCGCCATCCCACGACAGGCCCCGGTGTGTGATGTTCCCCACTCTGTGTCCAAGCATTCTCAGTGTTCAATTCCCACCTATGAGTGAGAACATGTGGTGTTTGCTTTTTTGTCCTCGCGATAGTTTGCTCAGAATGATGGTTTCCAGCTTCATCCATGTCCCTACAAAGGACACGAACTCATCCTTTTGTGGCTGCATAATATTCCATGGTGTATATGTGCCACATTTTCTTAATCCAGTCTATCATTGATGGACTTTTGGGTTGGTTCCAAGTCTTTGCTATTGTGAATAGTGCC